TCTTTATCTAGATCTTTGAGGTTTTTTTTTTATTTATTTTTTATTTTTTTTTTTTACATGCCCTATAAACAGTTTCTTGCTTGCAAAGTTATTTCAATTCTGGTTTTAACTTAAGAATTTCATAATTCTAGATAACTCACATATTTATAAATCCTATTTAAACCCTGAACCCGTTGACAACGGGTAAATAGAGAATAATACTTTTGTGCAAGGCAATGTAAGAGGGAAAGGGAACCCATAAAGTATATACATATATATATTCTTGATCAGCATCAATAGCCAAGGTTGATCAAGAGATAGAGACTGAACGTAGGTGCTCCTAGTGCCCGCGCAGTACGATATTATTTTCGATATCGATAACTTGCCCCTTTTCCAAGTAATCGATAAAAATCGATATCGAAATCCTGTTCGCTTAGGTTTTAAGATTCAATTTCGACATGGTAAAAACAGATCAACTATCTCTCATTTATGGCTAAAGATAAGCCCCTTTAGTAGATGAAGAGGGTTGAGGGTATTCCCCAGTCGGGCCACATGATCCTGTTATACCAAATGCTAGTTGGTTTCATATGGAATATCCTAAATCGCTCTTTCATTTATATATCCCGATCATATTGATGGCATCTCATTTACGATTTGCCCAAAGTCAAAGCTAATTAACTTTCTATGCGTGCAACATTATCGGAAAGCCTTCAACATGATTTAATTGCCAGTTCCATGTCGGCCAAACTATCCAATTTTTTATTTTTTTTATTTTTTGGTTAAATGGAGTTGACCAACGCTTGATGGCCTGCTGGCTTTTCTTGTTTGATTTCGATTTCGATTTTGATTTGGAATTGGACGTGGACGTGGATGTGGACGTGGATGTGAATTTGGGTTTTCGTTTGCGTTTTCGTTTTCCACACAAGTTCATTATAATGCTGTTGGCATGTTTATTATGTTGATTATGTTTTATGTGCGACTCGCTCGCTTTTGACATTTTTTCATTTTTTCTCCCATACCCTCTCACCCATTGAAAATGATTTCAAGAAGGGCATGTTGGTTTTCTTGACGAGCTGAGTCGATCGTCCGTCCGGCACTTGAAATTCGGAATATGGCTTCCTGCATATCATATGCAGCTAAGGATGACATAATTTTTCGATAATATCGTAGTTATCGATTTCGATAGAAATCGATAGAAATCGAAGACTATAAACCTGGTGTATATCACTTTTGGAATACCTCAACTTATACTCAACTTATTCTTCGCAAAATTGAAAAAGGTTGAGCACAGAAAAAGTATCGCAGGCCAGCTTGGCGCTAGGCACAGGGTATCTGCTAGTCGGGCACTTCGGACCAGCGTAAAACCCAGAAACCCAAATCAAATGAAGTGCGTGCGCTTGGGCCTGACTTTGGGCCTGACTTTGGGCCTGACTTTGGGTCTGGGTCTGGGCAATCGTCAGCGGAGCGACGTGAAGCGTCAACTAGGCGCTGTCTAGGCCATTTTGTGCGCTTGGCCTGGTCATTGGTCATTTGACATGCCATTGGCTTGGCATTCACACTGTTTACTTCGCTGTTTGATTGCCCGATCATTATCCCAAATGATGTTATGTGGACTGAGCTAATGATTGGAGATGATGTCGCTGGCCGTTTTGCTCGACTCGTAGCTGTCCTTCAATTCTTGGCACGATCTTGAAACTCGATCGGTTGGCCCTTTTTTTTCTCTCTCTATTAATTGCCCACAAGAGTCATAAATTAATTACTAAAACGGTTCCCCCCCTCACCCGCCCTTCTATCCACGCAGCGGACTCTTTAAACAACTGCCCAGAAAATCGAAAGTATATTTTTATTTAATTTACGATCAGTTGAGTGCGGCCCACTTGCCCGACTGTGTGTGTGTCGCCTAAGGTCGATCGGTTCGAGATCCCAGATCTCAGTGCGAGATCATCAGCCCTGGCTCAGCCCCCCCCCCCTCTCCCCCTCTCTCTCTCTCTCTCTCGCTCTCTCGCTCTTTCTCCCGAATTGAAAAGCTACTAACAACAAAAGACGAGCACACAAATTAATTGTTCTAAAACGACACAAACATATCAAACGTCCAGACATTGAAGACCTACAAAGTTCGCTGTTTTCCAAGATTTTCTCTATATGTTGCCACAAATTATAGAAATAAAGCTTAATCGGCGAAGAGCCGCAACTATTTCCTGTCAAGCGTTCGTCACATTTGTGCCTAGCCGATCGTCGCTTGATCTAAATACTAAATTGTCACTTTTAAGGAGCTTCTACCATATAATTAACATCTTTCTCATTGTTAGATTTGACTGTATTTTGTGAAACAACAGAATGCTTTTCATCTGAAGTCGCTGATTAGCGATCGATTTGATCTGACAGTCATTTAGGGGAGTCATATGAGAGAGCTTAAGAGAGAGCTTAAGAGTCAGAGCTAAGTGCTGATAAGAATCATAAGAATCGGACAATAAGCACCGAAGTTATTCAACAACGCATCGCTTATAGTCTGGGGCGTGTTTTCTTGTGTGTATTATGATTTAGTAGATGCCGCCGAAGCATAAATCGTGATATAGCTGAATTAACTTTGTTCAGCTCGTTTATCTGATAGCGATCATTCGAATATTATATACACTATGCAAGCGATCTATATCTTTCGTTTGCCGATGAGCATCATCTATTGCCTAATTAACTAATCTATCATCTTTCCGCAAGTGTTGAGCTGTGGATCTGCCTCTCATCCATTAGCTGTTCTTCAGCTGTTTCTGCAAGTGTCGATCATTGTCTGGAAATTTGTGTGTGTGTGAAAGATCAAATCGTTTTCAATTAGGCCAAAAGGTCGAACTGTGCTTTCTTATACCCTCGCTAAAGTTAATCAACGTTTGTTATTAGATATGTGTTGCATGGAAGTTGACCCCACAAATTATATACATATTCTATTGATCTTGATTGAGAACACGCGAGACATGTCCCGCTGTCTGTTTCCTTGCAAAGTCTTTTCCCTCGTTTTGAAGTCAACTTCTTTTTCCCTATCTTTACTATATAGCTTTATCAACATCGGACTTCTATATAGTATAATGCAAAACTTATCCATTTCCCAAGATACCTTGAACTTCACACTTCTCCTTGCATATCTGCGCAATTATCGGCTAATTCGCTTTAAGGGTATTGCATTGTCGGCGTGCTGTATTCGTTCTTTTTTCCTTTTTACCTGCCAGCGGGGGCGGGGCACGGGCTGGGGAGTAGAGCATCTAAAAGCGGCAGCAGCCAAACAAACAACAACAACAACAACAACAGCAACAACAATATTAGTGCGCGTAATGATGATGATCAATGAAACTAATAAACAACAACAACAACGCCAACACTCATGCCGGAAATTGTAGAACGTGTTTATGCCACAATTTCAAGTTGTTGAGCCACGCACAGACAATGCGTCAGAGCGTCGGCCCGAGACATGCGTGCCAAACAGATACAGATACAAATGTATCTACAAATGTAGATATATATATATATATGTGCCTATATATATATATGTATATATATATAGATGCACAGCTACAGATGCATCTATAAAATCCCACTGCGGATGCAGTTTGCACAGTAGCCAACAACAACAACAACAACAACAACAACAACAACAACAACAACAACAGGAACAACAACAACAACAACAAGCAACCTTTTGAGTAACAATATGCGTTGGGCGTTAGGGAAATTTCTGATAGTCGCCGTTGCGTTGGCATTTCGAATGCCCTACACGAGGCGAGAGAGCGAGGCGAGAGATCGACAGAGAGAGAGCGAGAGAAAAAGAGAGAGTGTGCGTAATCGCAAATTGTGTACTGCGATAAACGATAAACGTTTGCAATGCGCCTTTGCAGCACGTGCCCATCTGCATTGGCATGCTAAAAGATACAAAGATACAAATTGTATCTTTGTATCTCGGATTGTGTATCGCACAGTGCCGCCAACTTGTTATGCCCGAGCCCAATGGAAGGAAATGACTAAGGAGGGTATCATGTCGATCTAGAGACGAGAAATTTGAAATATGTACATATATAAAGCTAAAGTAGAAGAAGATTTCCATTTTTTTCGCCAATATCTGCTGCAATTTACAGAATATCGATAAATATCGATTTCGAGACTTGTTTGAAGATTCAGATATATCAAAACTATTCTGTAGACTCTGCCTTAGCATATACAACTTAAATGAACTTCGCTTTTGCCACTCCCACCCAAAATTTATTGTATAGAATGAGACTCGACTCGACTCGACTCGACTCAACTTGCTGCTGGATGGCAGGGTATCTGCTAGTCAGGCGCTCGCGACTACAGCACACTAACTTGTTGTTGTGGCTGTTATTTGGATCCTCCAACGTGCGAAACGCACACACGCACACACACACACACACACACACACACATGCACACACACTCGTTTCGCTCACGCATTGACGCGCACGCTGAGCTCCATTCATAAATTCTTCATTCAGATTTGGTCGGGTCGCTCGTTCCGTCTGCAGATCACGTGCGTGCTATCAACTTGGCCATGCAGTGGGCAGCTAGGGGGAAGCCAACTAACCGGGTGCGATTGGGGCTTATGTTGGCTAACCAACGACCGGGGGAAGGGGGTTGGGTATACCTAACGAAACGTGTGCGCCCAACCACATTGGGCAGTTGATTGACCCGTTTCGCTGCCAACTGTTAATGCACTTATTCGGATATTTACGACTTCAAATGCGCACACAAATCTACCTGTACATATATATAGAGATATATATATGACGAGTTGTCAAAGGCAGGCCATAGCCGCCCCCATCTGGAGCGACAAGACGTGCCGCACTTTGAGCTGCATTCGAATTAGTTTTCCGGTTGATATCCATGCATCAATTCGGATTGATCGTCTTGCTGCGTGCGTGCTGCATATTAAATATCCCCTATAATTCCAACATATACACATATCTATATATATGTATATATATATTACAGTTACAAATAATTGCATTTCTTTTTTATTTGCAGGTGTGTTTTTTTAGGCGTCGCGCGGCAGGAGAAGCAGAAGAGGCGACATGCGCAACAAGTGCAATTGCCAATGCAACCATTAACAATGTAAGCAACAATTCGAAAATCAATAACAATTAGTTTCCCCATTTATCGATTTGTTATCAACAGTTTATCGATTTGTTTTCAAAAACTTGAGCTCAGCTTATCGATAACTACAAGGATTTCAATTCAAAAGAACATTTTCAATTATTCTACTACGATTCAAAAGCATTTTTTAGCAAAATTTGAGATGAAGCCAAAATTGTTAAACTCAATTTGAATTGCTTTGCAGCTGTGTATTATAATTTATCGATAACTATTTCGATTACTAGCACAAACATCGACGTTAACAATAGTTTTTGCTTGGGTGTAAATTTAGCTTATCGCCAACTAGGCTTATTTTAATTATTTGTAATACACTTAAACAACGTCGCCGGGCAAAACTTGAATACATAAGTTTAGCTATTTCAATTGATCGATTACTATCGATTACCTCGAACCTTCATACTAATATGCTCTTCATTGAGAAACTTAACATTTTGAAGCATTTTCATTTTTTGAGACAGCTTCATTGGCTAAATTTGGATAATTAATCCGAATTGATTGGAGATGGACAGATTTTAACTAAACTTATCGATTAGCGATTTATCGACTTGTCAACATTATTGTTCTTTCGATGTGTGCAATTTTTATTCATTTTCACATTTATCGACTTGAAAATGCGATTGTTATTTAAATGTGAGGTTAGGAAGGGTATTATACTCTTAAATAAAATATGTAAAGCCAATGAAGGCATTTGATAAGCCCACCAATAAAACAACGTTTGCACAACTACATTTTAAAACCTATAAAAAATTAATAAAAATCGATCATTAGTGCATGTATCGATATCGCACATCGATTATTATATATTCTATATTCCATATATATAGATATGTATGTTTCTTTTTTCAATTCTTTTGTGGGTTGTGTTGAGTTGTGAAAGTTTCCTAATTTATCGATTGATGGACATTTATCGACTGCAAATTTCGATAATACATACATTATCTAGAGCATATCTTTGGGAATGTCGCTTAAGCCTGACATTACTTGATAAATTCATATAAATGATCGATAACTTATCGACATACTTAGTGCAATGTCAGGTTATGTTCTTAATATTTAGTATTTAATAATTAGTAGAGCAGAAATATTTTGAATGAGTTTGACTTTGAACCTTTGAGGCGCCTCCACGGCCCTGGCTCTGAGGCAGCTCAGACTTAGCTTGGATTGCGACTTGAGAGCTGACCTCGTTACACTTCTCTCTAGCGTCTGTCGGTCCGTCCGTCCGTCCGCCCGTCTGTCCGTCTGTCTGTATGTTTTGCCTCTTTGTCTGTCGCTGCAATCAGGCCGTAAATGGTTAATTAACAACAACGCATAACTCTCACCTGACGCAGCGCTCAGCCGAGCAGTTGCACCATGTCTAATGCAACCAAATGCCAATTATGTCCATGTCCAAGTCCAGACCCGCGTCTCGGATCTCAAGCTCGAACTCAGTCTGTTGCTGTCTCTGTCTCTCCTTCTACCTCTACTTCTCTTTCCGTCTCTCTCTGTTACTATTATTACACTTGCTGCACTTTCAGCTAGTTCTTGTCTAAACTGTTGTTATTGTTCTTGTTATTTGATATAAGGCAATTGTGTCACAGCTCTGGACCTGGTTCCAGTTGCACACACTTTGCCGCTGTCAGCATGCCCAATGTCATTTGTCATTGATGTATCTGTATCTGTATCTGTATCTGTATCTGTATCTGTATCTGTATCTGTATCTGTATCTGTATCTGTATCTGTATCTGTATCTGTATCTGTATCTGTATCTGTATCTGTATCTGTATCTGTATCTGTATCTGTATCTGTATCTGTATCTGTATCTGTATCTGTATCTGTATCTGTATCTGTATCTGTATCTGTATCTGTATCTGTATCTGTATCTGTATCTGTATCTGTATCTGTATCTGTATCTGTATCTGTATCTGTATCTGTATCTGTATCTGTATCTGTATCTGTATCTGTATCTGTATCTGTATCTGTATCTGTATCTGTATCTGTATCTGTATCTGTATCTGTATCTGTATCTGTATCTGTATCTGTATCTGTATCTGTATCTGTATCTGTATCTGTATCTGTATCTGTATCTGTATCTGTATCTGTATCTGTATCTGTATCTGTATCTGTATCTGTATCTGTATCTGTATCTGTATCTGTATCTGTATCTGTATCTGTATCTGTATCTGTATCTGTATCTGTATCTGTATCTGTATCTGTATCTGTATCTGTATCTGTATCTGTATCTGTATCTGTATCTGTATCTGTATCTGTATCTGTATCTGTATCTATATCTGTATCTGTATCTGTATCTGTATCTGTATCTGTATCTGTATCTGTATCTGTATCTGTTTCTGTATCTGTATCTGTATCTGTATCTGTATCTGTATCTGTATCTGTATCTGTATCTGTATCTGTATCCGTAGCTTTATCTGTATCTGTGCATTCAAATGTATCTGTATCTGTATCTGTATCTGTATCTGTGTCTGTGTCTGTAGCTATATCTGTATCTGTATCTGTGCATTAAAATGTATCTGTATCTACCTGTATCTGCACTTGCATCTTCTACTTTAGCTCTAACTCTGCGCAACTAATCCAATTAAGCTTTTGCTTAAGATCTGAAGAAAGACTGTCTTACAACTGAGTTTTCAGCTTGTGCAGTTTCAGATTGTCAGGCACTTGACTCTGCATGGAGAAATTGTTACGCTTCGTGTGCATCCCATATGGCCATATATATGGAATAGAAATTTTGTATGCCATTCCAATTCCAGTGCTGTAATACTAGCCCATATATCATGTTCTGCTGCGCTCTGAAAACCCATTTTTATATTTCTTACTATAACTACACGAAGGTAACGCGAAGGGTCGTGTATAATAGAGTAAAAAAAGGAGTTATGTGAGAAATATTTAACAATTTCTAAACTCTTCGTTAAGCTTCAAAGTTTTTGTTTTTATATATAAAGCAAACAATAATCGGGTAGAAGAATTATTGAGCTTTAGAATGCGCAGCGAGATTGAGAATCTGGAATGCCAAGATACTAAAAATGCCTCAGGTGTGTGTGTTTGGCATTTCATAAGGCGCATAAATCTTTGCATATAAATTAAAGTACGTATCAAATTGGGTTCTGCATAAGTTGAAAGCTGTAAAAGGATTCCTGGAAAGGTGTCTCGGTCGTTCGTTCCTCGTTGTTGGGGTGTCGCTCATAATCCTGGCCCGATAAAGTGCCACAAACCGAGGCGACGCAACGGCATTAAGCCTGATTAGGTTCGCGCGCACACCAAAAGGCCGAAAGGCAACAGCAGCAACAAGAAAGAGTTGATTGTTTCGGCACATCGAAGATGAAATACCCTTTTAAGACGAACCTGCCGGTATGTGAGGAGAATAATAAAGCTCGCGATTGCTCAGTCTGTTTCATATCGATAGATATGTCCCGTAGAGCTATATAATATAGTAATCCGATCGTAGCCTTAAGACTGATGACAAAATGAAAATACCCACGGCTAGGGTATTATGGTACACAAATCTTAAGCTGAAAGAAAGGCAACAACACAAGAGTTGAAGAGCGGGCAACGGCAAAAGCCAAACGAAGCAACGGCCAACGGCCAACGGCCAGCGGCCAAAACGGCCAAAGAAAACAAAAGTAAACCTGTACAAGTTCAAGGTCAAGTGCGGGTCTGCCGCACACAGCTGCAGATACACCGAAGAGGCACAGCCACAGATACACAGATACAGCTACAGCTACAGATACAGATACAATGTTCGAGATGCGCAGCTGCGTTCAAGCCAACAACTTGAGCTGAGAACAGCAACGGCAACAACACAAAAGGCCACTCTTGAGTTTGCCGCCTTGAAGCGGCGTCTTGGGCCCAGCCGAGCCGAGACGGGACGCTGCGCTCGTTTATCTTTGGCCAAGTCCGCACTTACACGTTCGCTTATGCTTAATGAAAGCCACTCCAAGAAGTTAGAAACGGCTACAACAACACAAACAACAACAAGAACAACAACAAGAACAGCATTTACAATAACATTAACAACTCCTACAAAAAGCTGCATTTGTTTTTAATACCCTGCTCCAATTTGAAAATGGGTAAACGAGTGCATATTGGTTCAGTGGAAATGTATGTAACAGGCAGAAGAATACCATAAATCCCATAAAGTATTTGCATATTCCCGAATTTGATAGCTATAAAATCTATATAAAGTCGTGTCCTATTCTTTGATCTGCTGCCATTTAGATAATTTCGATAAATATCGATTTTGAGACTTGGCTTACGTGCGCGTAACTCGAAGTCTATAGAAGCTAAGTAGATACACCGCATTTCGTCCGTTGGTTCTCGTATGGATTAAAAACAGATTAGAAATATTTAAATTTTGCTCGGCGCCAGCTACAGGGTATCTTCTAGTCGGGCACTGCCGCCTTAAGCACTCTTACTTGGTTTATTTGTTGTTGTTGTGGCTCGTCTGAAAAGGCCGCAGCAAGTTTTGCCAGGCAGCTTGCTGCCACCCAAGCAGCCAGTCGATTATTTATCGCGCGGATAACGCGAACGACAGTTACAGATACTCGAAACAGACGCAGCTACAGATACAGATACAGATACAGCTACGGGAAAAGATACAGCTACACTCGAAAATAAACGTGTGCGCCAATAACCAAAAACAAAAACACCTCTGCACCCGCTTTATCCATTCGTTTGTTATTTTCACAACTCATTACGCAAAGATGAAATATTTGAAATTAAAAAATAAATAAAAAAAAAAGAACTTGGAAATTGAACCATAAATGAGCGCAGCTCGCACACGCCATCAGGCTACACTGCGCGAAATTCCAGATGTGTTTCCAAAAGATATTTCACACTCTCCCTCGCTTTCTATCTTCTCTCTCATGTTGCTGTCAAAGTGGCTGTCAGATTTAACAGCTGGTCGGCAATATTTGTAAGCTATGTGGCAACGCCGCTTGGTTATGCTGGCTACCAATTTTGACAAG